GAAAGTGGAAACAACCCAAGTGCCCGTCAATCCATGAGTGGATTATCAAAATTTGGTATATGTTCACAATGGAATATTACTCGATCATAAGAAACGACAGGGATCTCTCTTTTTTTAATTAAAAAGAGTATTTTTCCATTTAATGATTCACTAACGGAAATATCCACATGGGACAAAATATTTACTACTAAAATAGAATGTATTTCTTTTTCACTCTGATATTGCTCATGTTTATTTTCAGAATATGCAGAAAAAATTTCAGACCTAGCTAATTCACATTTAAGTAAACTCAAACAACTGAAACACAGTGCAAGTCACATTTTTGTCTACATTTTCAATGCACACTGTCGATGAGAAAGAGGGGAAGAACAAGTGTTCAAGCTGATATTAGGACATTCATTCATTTATCAAAAAGCAATTTTCATGGAGATGTCACCACATCAGTATGCATTCAGTTGATTTCTCCAAACATTTATAATAAATAAAGCAAGATGATCAAAAAGCAATATTCCCAATGATGACACTGAGACACTGGAAACTTTTGAGTTACACAAAGGAGGTTCAATCATGTTCAGTAAAATGCTAGTGTCACACATTTTATGATAGTAGTAATTAATAGATTTAATGTTAGAACTCTCTGTTAATTAGTACTTTGATTATCCAGAAGACCCAATTTCCCACGATTCTGGATAAACTAAGGCTTATACTAAATTAGCATGTGCAAGAGGTGCACTTCTTCCAATGGTAGATTAAATGCTAAAGAGCAGCAAAAGGGTCCAGCAGTGAAAGATGAAGGGGAAGGATAATGGCAACAGAGTAATCCACCAACCAAATAGTCAGCAATGGAGCACACAAGAGCCGGACGTGCAAAAGGGAAAAAGAAAATCTGTTAACAGCTTAAGTTGTTGGTTCGAATGACAATGGACAGAATTTCTCTTACTTGGGTTTTGTGGGTGTTCACTAGCGAGGGAGCTGCCGCCACCATAGAGCTACTCCTGGGTCTGGGTAGGAAAGGAATATCTGGCTCTGGGGGTTTTTCTGGCTTCTCTTCCAACATGTGTCGCAGCCTTTGCAGATAGTACATCAGAGACCACTGAGTGCCTTCTTCAGACCAGTGCGGCTGGAGTAGGCAGCGAAGAACAGCAACGTCAAAGTAGGTGGCATAGCGGGACCTTTGGCATGGAGGTATCACGAGAGAGGCCCTAATCCGAATGGCAGAAAGAAGATAATTATATTGGCAGTCAAGCTTCCCAAGGGGCAGCACAACATGGCTTATAGCTCTACTTTTCTCATTCGTTTATTCATGAACTTGTCTCTTGTCTGGTTTACTCTAATAGCCTCCTAACTGGTCTCGCTCATCCCACTTTTGCTAAACATTTCCTGAAAGTAGAGACATTGAGAGAGTTTCAAAGGATGGGTAGAAATTGGCCAGGCAAAGTTAAGGTTGGGACAGGAAACAGCATTTCAGTCAGAGGGAAGAATGCCTACAAAGATATTGATCTCAACAATCATGAGTTTGGAGAGGAAATCATAAGTAATTAGTATAGTTGTTGAGTAATTTGGGTGGTGGACAATGATGAGAGTGAGAACTATAGAAATAGATGAGGTTCAGATCATGATGTTTCTTTTATACTAAGAACAGATTTGGCTTTTATCCTGATAAAAATAGAAATGATATTTGACTTGCCTACTTCATTGGGCTATTTTAATTTCAATTGTGAAAATATTATGTAATAGAACTAAGGAAACTGCAAAATGCTAAACAAAAGTTTTACTATGAGTGAAATAAGATAATTTTGAAAATTCTAAATTTAATATATCATTGTCAGATAGGAAAACTGATTTAAAAAATCTCAAGTTTCTGGGATTCCATGATTCAGTTTAAATACATGATATATTCATTACTTAATGTTCAGTCTCGTTCCACTACAAAATAGTTTTAAGCATTTACTCAACATAATGTAATATCTTAGGTATCTTAGGAACAATGAACTGAATGTGTCCCCCAAAATTCACATGCTGTAATCCTAACCCTGAATACGGTGACATTAGGAGGTGGAGCATTTAGGAGGTCATTAAGTCATGAGGGTGGAGTCCTCATGAATGAGATTAATGCCATTATAAAAGAGACACCAGAGAGCTCTTTTGCCCTCTTTTCACCATGTGAGGACACAATAAAAAGATAGCAGTCTGCAACCCAGAAGAGGGCCCTCACCAGAATCTGACCATGCTGGCACCCTGATCTTGAATTTCCAGCCTCCAGAACTGTGAGAAATAAATTTCTGTTGTTTATAAGCCACCTAGGCTATGGTACTTTGTAATAGCAGCTGAGCTGACTAAGGCATTAGTGGATATGAAGGTAAGTTTAACTTCCTCACCTTGAGGAACATACGGTCTAGTGAGGAAGATAAACAATAAATGACAAAATATGAATTTAGATCTTCTGGGATCCAAGACGGTATCTTAAATCTAAAGCCTAAACTTAACCCCTAAGTACAATTTCCTTCTGAATTAGATGATGCCAAAGAGAAATTTTTGTACCCCACCATCAACTAGTAGATGGGTACTACCCACACACAAAGAGCTCCCACAAAAAATTCAGCCACTGACAGTGAGAAGGAGAGATCTTCCTAAACTTCTCTGGCCCATATTTTTTGAATCGAAGATTTATGACTCATTGGTGGCTCAAGAAAATAATTCAATAGGACACAACTACTATTAACCTATTAACTAGAATAAAATCTACAGAGTAAGGGCTTGTATGTTTGGTGAAAATTTTGTCTCACTTCACATGTTTGTCAAGTCATTAGTAAAATATATTTCTTACTGTGTGTTGCAGTAAAAAGTTCAAAAATACAGACCCAAACTATGTCTGATGCTCTGTAAATTATTTTTATAGCCTTTCTACTTCCATATCAAAACATACGTCATACTTTGTTATTGCAACTCTTGTTAATAGCATTGTCCATTGTGTGTGTTGAGGGGTCATTGCCCATGTACACAGTGGTTTTGAACTTTAATGCTCTCTTATAGTCTAACATTCTTGAATTAAATATAAGTTGAAGTTGAAGTTCAAACACAAAAGGTGCTACAATACTAACTATTTAACTGAGTTGGTAGTTATATGACGAAAAGCTTCCTACAATCCCTTAAATTCCTATATATGCTATGCCAGAGTTTATCCTTTTTCCAGGGAACTAGAATACTCTTTGGACATAAGTTACAAGACAACCTTCAATCCATGATAAACTTTCATAGATTCTCTTTCCAACCACTTCTCATCAGTTCTACAGAACCCTACCCCAGTCCTAATCATCAACATCTCTCATTAGGCTTATTGCAATGACTTCCTACTGGTCTCATTGTCTCTTCTCTTATTCCCCCAACCCCTGTTCAAGCCCTTCCAATAGATTATTCGTTCACCCTTAGAATAAAATGCAAACTCCTTACAGTGGCCAATAAGTCCTGCATAATCTGACTGGGTTTATCACTTCGACCTCAATCTCTATCATGCCTGCCCTGATGTGCCAGTTATTGATTTATTGTCTCTCAGCTCCAAATTCATCCTTTTTTATAAATGACCTCTGTTTTAATATCTTTTCAAATTGGCCAATGTGCCACTTGCTTCCTCCTGAGACCCTGATTACACCTCCAAACCGGTGTGAAGGAAAGTAACAACTTTGATTCTCATTTTTACCTGTTTCCTAAAACGTTTTCAATACTCTTTCCTTCCCCCACCCATCCATTTCTCTTTCTTAAAGAAGCATGACCTAACCACTCTTCTCAGCCTATTATTTATACTTAAGATAGTGGGGTTTCTTTTCTCTTTCAGCACTGTACTCTTGGATTTATGAAGAAAAGACAAAGTATAAGGTTGGCTGGATACCGCTGGGTAATTTTAGGTCCTCAAACCTTTGTGACAATCATTTGATTTATTATAAGAGCCTGTGAGAACCGTTGTTTTCTTGCCTGGGCTGCTGTAATTAAGGCAGATATTAGTAGTGCGACAGGATTATTTCCCCGCCTTGGACTAGCTATAGTTATTCTTTACCCTTTACTTTCTGCCCTATATCTCAGAGAATGATATGTTTTTAGTTAGTAAACTAGATTAGGGAGTTTCATAAATTATTTCAAATTTCTAGAGCAGTATTCCATATGAGATGCCAGCAAACCATTTCTATGAGAACCCTAAGGAGGAAAGGAAGGAGAAAGGTCGGGAAAAATGCAGACACCAGGTCTTACCACAGACTTATTAAACCGGAATTTCTGAGGGTGGGCTCCAGGAATCTTTTTTTAAACTACATCCCCAGGTATTTCTTGGCTACTCTTAATAAGATTGAAGGACAGTTGCCCTAGAGAAACATGTAAGCATGATTTCTGCACTTTTAGGCCAACATCAAAAATAATTCCTATATGGAAATGCCATAACTGAGACAATTAATATGTTGACAATTTTGTTCCTGAGGGCACCAGTGACTAGATTTATGTCTCTCTCTGCACACAAAATGTATTTGACTGGAAAGTAATTGCTAACTGCATCATTGAGTCCCGTAGCTGTTAACTACTTTCTTATAGCATATATCATTTCAGCAGATTATGGGCTGCAGAACAGCAAGACCCCACCAATATTAAGCTGTGATCAGAGACTAAAAACATGTCTGCATCTTATGTAATCAAAATTTATTAAGTAATTTCACATTTCAGTTGCTTAATATTGAAAGAGACTCATTTGAAACAATACTGAATTAAAACATTCTGTAGCAAATATTGATAACCTGCAGCACCTGCATTTAAGGTATTATTCAAGCACTAGTTTATTTGATTTAAAGTGTGAGCTATACTGGACTGACTCATCTCTAAAAAGCAAAATTTTATGTCATTTAGGACAGCATTATCAGATGTAATGAACTTGTCACTGACTATTAATAACTGATAAAAGTCATTTTAGTTAACAAACTAATTGGCATGTGGGAGACAAATTTACATAACTACATAAAAATAATATGGGGGAAGCTCATTGTATCATGTGATAGAAAAGTTCTTTTTGACTCTAATATTAAATGATTCTATAAGTTATTTTGTAGAGTAACTTATAAAAATAAAAAATGAAATTTTATAAAAGAATATGGATACAACTTTTTTCTAAATAATGTATGTAAAAATAATGAGAAGCACATATAAAAAAAGTTGATATTTATAGCTACCTAATGTGCTCATGGGTGATTTTTACTTATTTTTTAATATTTTATACATTCAAAATTTTTTCTATAATTAGCATTATATAAAATTATATGCATAAAATAATGTATTATGACAAAAAAGATTTTCAGAAAAGGTAAGAATTGCTTTAATCTATTTTCCAAGCAACTATGGCTGCGGGAAACCAAGTTGTTATGAATTAGGATTGGGAACTGAAACTAGAGAGTATTGAAGGCAGATAAGCACTCTGGAAACAACAGACAATCTACGGAGGCAGAGAACTGTGGAAATCAGTCTTGACCCTATGCAGTATTTAATGAAACATAAATTAAGTCTATGCATATAGTAATTAAAGATGAAATCTCACATTAATTAAAAAACCTAGCTACCTTTTCACTGGTTGCAGAGTGCAGGGAAGACTGATGTGCAGTTCAATCAGGGTCAGAGCAAAAGAGATAATGAATTGACTGTGTTTGATACAAGCAGACAGATCTTGTTGCTAGGATATTAGTATTGTTTTGTTATTAAAGTTCTCTTCGTTTCTGACTAATACATAAACTCTTCCAATGAAGACACATTAGCATTAGCATTTTCTGAAAGTTACCTTGCACATGATTTCCATGGCAACCAACCACTACAGCTAGGCAGCAAGAAGACCTAATTCATTTTTCCAAAGTGCCACACGTCTGAAAAACACATGTGAGCGGATGTGTGCTGTAGGTGACTGTGTGCATGTATGTGTCACAGAACGCATATACATGCATACACATGAAGATGCTTCAATGTAGTAATATCAGAGAATGGGGAAAAATGTTCTCCAGCAAAGAAAAATCTTGGACATTATAGTTGGCTTTGTTTTTACAGGCAAATCAGACTGGAACCGTTAACACTGATTCTGTCAGAGAAAACAAACACCATTTGTGTTTACATTTGTAAATTTTTAGTGCTTACTACGGCTGAGAGGGCCCCCCAGATGGTGAAAAATCGAGTCCTCTGGCCAACAGCCGTCTGAGGGAGCTTGAAAGCAGGTCCTACAAACCAGTCAAGTCTTCAGATGACTGCTGCCCTGGCCAACATCTTGAGAGACCCTAAGCTATGATCACGTAGCAAAGCTGTTTCTGGATTCATGAGCCTCAGAAACTATGTAAGAGAATAGATGTCTTTTGTTTTAAGCTGCTAAGATTTAAGATAATGTGTTATACAGAAATTGATAATGAATACAGATTTTGGTGCCAAGATAAAACCCTAGATTTTGAGAATTGTTGTGGAACTAGACAGTAGGTAGAAGCAGTATAGACTTTGAGGAAAGTGTTTTTTGTTGTTTTTTTTTTTTAAAGCATGACTTGTCTTGGACAGATTGTCAGTAGAATTCCTGAACTTTGAGGAGGCTGCTGGTGAGAAGGACTGAACAAGAAGAAGCATACTATTGGAAACCGGAGGAGGGAGATCTTTATTATGTAGTGGCAGAAAGTTGCTTGCTGTGATGTGGAAAGCTAAAAAAAGGTGCCTAAATAACTGGTTGATCTAACAAAGGAGATTTCCAAATAAAGTGTTGAAGTTGCCTTCTGATTTCTTCTTGTTGCATATAGTAAATTGAGAGAGAAAAGATATGAACTAAAGGAAGAACTGTTAAAGACTAATGATCTGGGACTGGATGATTTTGAAAATTCTCAGCCTCTCCAGATGGCAGATAATGCTAAAATTAAAAAACAGCTTCTAAGAAAATATCAAATCTAGAGTACTGTTGGAAAAACATGATCTAAAGTTGAGCCAAGGGTGAAGAGGTAAGGTCATTTGTTAAGACTTCTGAATGATCTAAGGCCATACCTCAGAATACTGTTTCATCAGACAAAAGGCCCTCTAAAGACTTTGATAGTGTTATTCAAATATGTATATATATGACATCTAAGAAACTTACAGGTGGTGTTCTTCAACAGAAGCCTAAGGTAAAGATGGGATTATCTCAAAGAGATTTGTGGATATGGATGTTGTCCATTCTAGTGGACCCCAATAAAATTCACAGTGGACTCAAGCCTGTAGGGAGACTGAAGTTCATGCTGACACCTAGATTTCAGTTTGGTAAGACCCTGAAGCAGAGAACGCAGAAAACCCTAGGTTGTGCCTTCATTTCTCCCTACAGAAATTGTGACATAATAAATGCATGCTGGTTAATGTCACTAAGCTTGTAATTTGTTACACAACAGTAAAAAAGCAAAAAAACTAATTCAAGTAATTCAAGAAACATACACAGAAACTATTGAAAAGCAAATTTTGGTCAAATATAAGAAGGACATTCCACTAAAGAGCACTATCTAAAAATGAAATGGGATTCATCAGAGAGGACTAAATTCCTCATTGCTTAAAGTGTTTAAGCAAATGTTGTTTGTGCATCAGCTAAGTGATAGGAGATTGTACTGGATACCTCACAGAGTTCTTGCCACATTATTTTTAATTTTTAAAATTATATTTTAATTAACAAATAATAATTGTATAATTATATATTTATGGAGTACAATGTAATATATGTTTACATTGTGGCATGATTAAATCAAACTAATTAACAAATCCATCACCTCACATACTTTTATTTTGTGGTAAAAACATTTAAAATCTACTCTTTTAGTAATTTTGAAATACAGGATGCATTATTATTTCTTATAGTCACCATTCTGTGCAATAGCTCATTAAAGCTTATTCCTCTTACCTAACTGAAATTTTGTACCCTTTGATCAACATCTTCCCTTTTTTTATCCATCCCCCTACCCCCAACCATAACCACCATTCTACTCTTTACTTCTGTGAGTTCAACTTTTTTAGATTTCACTTATGATACAAAGTACTCATCATCATCATTGTCCCAGGACAGTAAATCAGTGAATAAACACAAATAGCTCTGTTTACACAACTAAAATTTCTGTCAAAATTTTATATTCTCAATCAGTAGATTATTAATTGGGTCTCTTGTTTTTGAAGTCTAAATAAAGACACGAAGATAAACACATTCTTTACATATTTTTTTTTTAAAGCACAACATAATAGCATTTTGGTTAAAAAACAATTGTATTTATATGATTCCATGCTTTCAACAATTCTAAGAAATCTTTCAAAAACATTGTACCCATGTTGCCTGGCTTTAGCGCCAGATGGAGGTAGATCCTTTAAAAAATTATCAAATGAAAAGGCAAGTCTGATACTGGGAGAAAATATTTGTGAATCTATTTTTTTTTTAAAATAAAGTTCTATATCCAGAATATAGAAAGAACTCTTAAAATTTAATAATGAGATAACCCAGTTAAAAAGTGAGCAAAACATTTAAATAGACATTTCATCAAAGAAGATTTTCACATAGATAATAAACACATGAAAATATATTTAATATCATTAGCCATTAGGGAAAAGTAAATTAAAAGCACAATCAGATCCCACTTCACACCCACTAGAATGGCTATAATAAAAGATAGACAATAACAGGTGTTACCAAGAATATAGATGAACACACCCTCATATGTTGCTAGTGGGAATGTAAAATGGTGCAGCCATTTTGGAAAACAGTTTGACAGATTCTTAAAAAATTAGACATAAATTTGCCATATGATCCAGCAATTCCACTCCTAGATATTTATCCAACAGAAGTGAAAACCTATGCCCCCAGAAAAATTTGTAAGTGAATGTTTACAGCAGCATTATTCATAGTAGACAAAATGTGGAAACAACCCAAATATTCATCAACTGATGAATGGATAAAGGGAATATGATAGATCCTTACAATGGAATATTATTCACCAATAAAAAGAAATTAGCTACTGATACATGCTATGATGTGGATAAACTCAAAAACATTATACTAAGTGGAAGAAGCCACATACGAAAGACCACGAACTGTATAAATTTACATGAAATGTCTAGAAATACAACCCAACAGAAACAGAAAGTATATTAGGGGTTATCTGGAGCTGGGTGTGGGAATGGGATTGACTGCAAATGGGCACAAGGGATAGTTTTGGATGATGAAAATGCTCTAAAATTGAATTGTAGTGATAGTTGTACAAACTTCGTAAGTTTACTAAAAATCATTAAATTTACTAAACTTAAAAGATGTGAATTTTATGCTCTATAAATTATACCTCAATAAAACTATTTCTTAAATACCTTTTTTTTAAAAAAAACATTATCCACTAGGCTGTAATTTCTTTTGAAAGTAGGGATATACAAATGATCTCAGGGACTCCTGCTGGAATGGCAAACCTCTTGACTTCAGGTATCCATGATTTCAGCAGGGAGTAGGAAGCAATAGACTAGTTCTTATTTCTGGGGAAGATGTTTTCAAGTATATTCACTATGTATGTTAGATAACAGGAATGTTTATAAAGAACACACTTTTAAATTCTCAGTACTTTAGAAGCACTCATTTTAATACAAGGATCTGCTGGTATAAAGTATACTTATACATTAAAACAGGTCCTTTAACATCTCTGCAACGTAATCTTTCAATACCATCGTTTGAGTTTCTGCACTTGAACATTAAAAATAGTATCTAATTCAGATATCTCTTAAATCAGACATGTCTTCCCACTTCTACCCTAGTGTATTGAAATGAGATAGCACATTTCTACAACTATTAATCTAATTATACCTTGACTAAGAATGTGTATACACATATCATGCACATAAATATTTTAAGGAACAGAGGCTATAATAGTAGCTAAAAATGCACATTTAATTTTTGGTGACCAGTGATACATTTCATCTCTAACATTGCAATCAGGTACCTGGAATGTGATGGTCCCCTTTCCTGGGAAGTTTGGGAGGACAGACTTCCATCAAAGGAGTTTCCTCGGTGGCAGCCTGAAATGGTGGCCTTGGGTGAGATGGAATCTGGCTGGAATGTTTCACAGACCACCTGGAGTCCCTTTGGGAGGTGGAGATAGAAGGTTAGTGGTTTTTTTCCTTCAGATATATCATCTAGAATTAATGACCATATTACAAACATGGCTACTTATATGGGTTTTTCTTTTTTCAGCACAACTGATTATAATGTCATACAGGCCGAAGAATTTTGGAAACAGACTTCTAGAGAGCACCTGTGTCATTCCAAGCATTAGGCTAAATACTTTCAAATATTTTTATTTCATTTTGTCCTCGATTCTTTTCTTTTTCATCTCCACATCAAGTATCTATAGGAGAGTTCCAAATTAACAATCCATCATATTGAGGTGAACTGAACAGAGGGGTGAGGCTATAAACAAGCACCAGGTTACTGGAAGCTAATCAAATTGACGGCAGAACGTGAGAATGGAAATGCAAGGTTCAAGTTTTTCATTCATTGTTCATCAGCAGAGGGGTGCAATACATTTTTCCAATTGGACATGATGATCTTTATTCTGATTTATAAGTATACATTCAGCAATTCTCTTACCAAGTAGCTTATTTTAATTACATTGAGCTGCTAAATGTAATGCTGCCCAGGTAATGTGAAATATTTTCCCATAGGTATTATAGATGAAATCTTTCACTAAAGTATAAAGACCCTCAAAAATCTATCATAGTAGTTTAGTCCTTACAATTTCTATTTTTATGCACAAAATAAGGCATTATTCAACCCTGATGTATGTATGGCAAGATCAATACAGTTAGAAATTTCGTGAAGTCCTCCAAACTTGATCAAAGAATCCTTTAGCATGAGTATACTTATGAGTGCCTCATGTTAGGTAATTTGGGAGATTAAAAACAATCTAAGATGAATCTGAGCCTTAAATTCAACAGGTTACAGTTAAATTTTAAGACAGGTAAGTATAGGTTAGAGCAGCATGTCTAACAGAAATGTAATGTAATCCACAAACCGCCACATATATGATTTTAAATTTTTAGAGGACACGTTAAACATAGTAAAAAGGAACAGGTGAAATTAATTTTAATAATATATTTTGTTTAACTCCAAATTATCATTTCAACATATAATCAATATAAAAATAAGAAAGGAATTTACATTCTTTTTTTAATACTACATTTTCAGAATCCAGTGTACGTTTTATACTCTCAATCCAGGCTAGCCATATTTCAAGTGGTGGATAGCCAGATGGGCCTAGTGGCTTCCATATCGGACAGTGTAGGTTTAGACTAATTAGACAGGAGTTCACAGGGAATTGAGATCTTAATTTGTCCTTACAAGGATAAAATTTAGACAAGTGGGACAAGGAGGAAAGAGTATTCCAGTTAGAGGAAACAAGTCTGAGGAAACAGAGGCTAAAATGAGCATGCACTGTAAGTTGGAGGCAATGCTTAACTGACTAAAGGGATGAGACATAAGGCCATTTAAGAGGGATGGTGCCAGGTGGTGGAAGGCACGGAGAATCAGGGACAGGAGTTTTTTTTTTTTTTTTTATTAGTGTGAGCCAATTTACTAGTGAGAAGAAAAGTAGAAATGAATGTCAGAGTACCACCATGAAGAGATTTTAGGTTTTAGTATGATGTACATACTTTGCTTAAGTTTACTATGTCAAATATGTTTTATTTTATTTTATTTTATTTTTTATTTCAGCATATTATGGGGGTACAGAT